AACTCTCTCCGCGGCAAGTATCAGCACAAACTTCGACAGATCTGGTCATCGGAACTGTCGGGGAAGAACAAAGTAGCTGCAACAAATATGCTTGCCGTTCCAATCTTACTCTACTCGTTTGGAGTAGTGAAGTGGACTCGGGAGGAGCTGTATCAACTCGACGTAAGGACCCGAAAAATGATGCATCTCTATAGGAGTTTGCATCCCAAATCGTCCGTTCCACGGTTGTACTTCCACCGACAACAGGGAGGCCGTGGACTTTTGAGATTGGAGTGTCTACATGACAGAATGGTACTGGATATAGCCTGTAAAGTTGTCAGGAGTTCGGATTCCCTTCTCTGCATGGTCCGTGACCATTGAAGAGCAGGAATTGGAACATTTCTCTTTGGGGCAGCTGCCCGAGCATCTGATGAACTAGGTTTAGTTTTCGACACTGAACGAGGTGACCAGGACTCTGTCACCGAGTTGGAACCCGTTCAGCAGAAAGTTCATATAAAAGCCGCAAAGACCACTTCACTTCTGCCAAAACACAATGTTAAGCCAATGTATGGGACCTTCTTCAATAACATTGGAGACCTTGGCTTATCAAAGCGCCTGACTTGTGTCTTCAATATCTTAGTCTACCGCAGTCGTATGCTGGGTATAGAGATACACAAGATACAGAGCCTGCCGCGAGGCGCCCGTGACCCTGATGCACTTGCTATCAGCATGTTCACCATATGCGGTCTCGGCCTATATCCATCGACATAACGCGGCCTTAAGAGTGCTATATTATCCTAAGGCACTCTTACGGTGTTGACGAGACATCGCTGTTGGACCTACGCTTCGGGGGATATTGAATCCGTTGTGGGGAACGAGAAGTACCGAATTTATTGGAACTATTCGTTCCCCACCCTCAGCCTCATACAAGCTAATAAGCCTGATGTAGTCCTTCTCGACCTCCAGAACAAGACGATATTTGTCGTGGAGTTTTCAGCTCCTGGCGGGACGAATATCGTCCGAAAAGAGGAGGAAAAACGGATAAAATATCGAGATTTTCTCTTCGAACTCCGCAGACTCTAATCAGACCACTCTGTCAAAGTGGTTGTTTTGATTATTGAAGTCCTTGGTGGATTGATGTCTTCTCTACTCTCGAATCTTAAAATCGTACCGGCCTGCCGCACTAAGGCAGAAATCTTAGCCGCGCAGATGCAGAAGATTGTGTCATTCTTGGGTCACTGCGCTTGCTCAGGGCACATGATTCTCTGACCCAATGATCACTTATGGTTGGTTGTATGTATAGGGCCTGACCAGCGCATACTACGTTAAGAAATAATAATAGCAATAATCTTTATTAATCTCAAGAAACAAGAATAAATATAACAGTGATGAAAGTGGTGAATTGGCGCAGTGGTAGCGCGCCCGACTCACTATCGGAAGGTCGCGAGTTTGATCCCAGCCTCGACCAAATTTTTTTTTCGAGAGAATTTATCTAGCTGAAATTGGGATGATTCTGCGACGTAACATGGCTGAAGGACTGCGAATCATTTGATGAGGACTTTACTGGTCACACTGTATACAAGTCGGTAAACTGTTTCTGATAGAAGTTGCTCATCATATTTTATGTAAATGTAAGACAATGGATCACAGCAAATAATGTATGGATAACCCAAATTATCTCCAGAAGAACATGACATATATCAGCAAGGACCTGTACCAGCAGACTAGTACAGAAAATAAGATTGTTGAAATGGGTGTTATGAAGAAGATGGGAGGAAATGCAAAAAGCCCATTAGGTTATTCAATTCTTGGAAGAGGCTCCGCAGTACTAAAATTAAACTCTTTATGTACAGATTAAAGATCACTGGTCTCAGGACTGACCCTTGCAGTACTCCATACGTGACAGTTCTGTAATTGCTTGGAACGCCATCCATCTGCACTGCTTGATTTCAACGAAAAGTTAGTTTCACGTATAGCACAAAAAATAAGTATACAAGTAGGGTTGCACAAGACGTGAAATGTTCAGAAAACTTATACATTTACCTTGTAATCCTTGTTGTCAGTCAGGACAATGATCTCCCAAGACTGGGCATGGCCTATGGGGAGGTCTCCATCTCCCTGTTCATCACCCCATCCGCCATCTTTGTACGAATTTCGTGCAATGTAACCCTGATTCAATCGGACGGATAAATGCAAAGCTGTATCGTCACGTGGACTATCGTTTGGACCAACTTGAAAATTTATGTTGAACCTAAAACACATTATTAGTACTTTAGAAGAGTAACGAATTCTGTCGTATTAGCCCCCGAGTTTGCAGTACTTAAAGTATTTAAACTATTCAGTAATTGAGATACTGAACACATTAAAAGAGGTTTTCGTGGGGCTTACTTCAATTATTTCTAATTACTTATAATGTACTTCCATGTGTGGAATAATACTAATAATACTACCTACTACCTACTGGGAATATCTTAAGTGGGTATTTTAAGTACTAAAATAATCGAGTACATTTGGTGAGACTCTAAGAATTCCGAAATCTAGATGTATAAAAGTAAATCAAGCGAATCCTTGAAAGTGATTATTTTGAGATATGGATTGTATTATATCTCAACTTATTTGTATTTTGAGATTTTGTGCATAATTTTTCATACCTAATATTCGTATCATATGATTGTGGGGCATTTTAGTTCTTGAACTTTCGTAACGAAAATCTAAAAATATGTACACTTCAGTGATCTTCATCCTCGACAATAATTTCATTTTGTGAGGAGTCCCTATCATAATATATTGTATATTAACTAGAATGGATTTGAGTGGACTGTATTTACTTTGGAACTAATCTTGCATATCCTTCAATTTAAATCTTTGAAATGAAACTCTGCTTGTTCAGAGATGCATCTATTGGTTGTCTATCACAATCACATTTATAAGTTGTGACCTGCTGCCATCCTTCAAGACGATATTCATAAAAGGGTGGCTTGCGCAAAAGTCATTCTTTAGGAACATACTCTTGGACTGAAATATCGTTATAAAATCGTGGTTGGAACAGGGAAAAGGGTCATAAAATGCGTAGCCAGACACAGCTAAACTAGTGGCTCATTTGGGAAGGTACAGTTCCCGACATATTGAATTTTCACAATTTTACGAAATCTTCATAAATTGAATCCTGTCCACGTTCCTGTGATTTTAAATATGCACCTACATGGTTAGGTTCTTTAGTAAATTTCAATGTTTGTATTTTAAAACTATTCTTCGTAGCTTTGTCAACAAGATTTCGTTCTGTGGACAATAAATTAGACAGATTTATTCTTCCCAGACTGCATAAAAAATCATTGTGATGTATTGATTCTAAGGCTTTCACAAGTACTTCCCCCTCTCAAAATTCATATTGCATTTTATTAAATGTCAATACCAAATAGAATAGGAAATCATTAATAATATTTTAGTTTGTTTGTTTGCTTGTAACTCTCAAGCTCGGCATCTGTATTTGACAGAATTAACAACAACATTATTGCTTGATCTATTCGCGGGCAGATGGCGATGTACGTAGTCTCCTTGATATATTGACATTTCCGTTTGATCTATTCACGGGCAGATGGGGCGGTACGTAACCTCTTTGATATATCGACATTATTGCATGATCTATTCGCGGGCAGATGGCGCTGTACGTAACATCCTTAATATAATTCGAACTCACTTTACATGTATTTCTTTGGCACCAAATGAAGGTAGCTTGGTAGCTGATTTTCAGGCTCCCTCTCCGGAATCAGAAAGTATCAATGATTAAATAAATAGGTATAGTTTAAATAAATCTAGTTTAAAAGGTCTAAAAAATACGCTTTAATAGCATACGAAACAAAAAAATTAATAATAAATATAGTTTGAAAAACTGAAAAACACGCTTTTAAAGAATATCCAACAAAAAAGTTGAAAATATTTTTTTTTAAATAAGCTTGAAACAATAACGAACGAGAAATACTAGTATTTTTAGTGTTTTTAGTTTTTTAAACTATATTCAATAACGCTTTTCTATATAGTAAAAGGCCATCCATTCATATAGAAGTAGGTGGACATTTATTAAATTCTTTGTGTAAACAAAAATAGTCAAGCAAATTTAGTAATGAACGGTCGGCCGTGATACAATAATTATATAGCAATCATGAAATAATTATCATGACAAGACTGATTATTTTGGGAGATGAGTTCATGAAATATGAATCAATAATAAAACATTTGTAAAAATTCATACCTATCTGCCTCAGGGTGCGTTACTCCTTGAATCCTGCACATTCTTCCAGGTTGTAGGCCCCCAGGAATCTCTCCATTGTAGGGAACATCCTAAAATAGAATTACCACTTGAATATCTAGGTTGGAAATAAACATTTCAAAGCCTACTTACGGGTTTCACTATCGGAGCCACCATATTCAGTGCCTGTCTCAGCTATTTCTGCTATTTTGTCTTGTCTACCTTTGATCAATTCAAACAATTTTGATTCGAGGTCATGAATACTGGAAGTCAATGCTGATGTATAATGATGCGAAAAGAGGCGGGGCTTAGCGTAAATTCAACGTCTATGAGGTAACCTTTATTTAGGAACGTCACATTCTCATAACAAACGGGATTCGATTTTGAGCGCCTTGTATAAAGCGAAGTAGGCAACTTCTTTAGCGTATTACCTTCATTCAGCGTACGAGGGGTTGCATAGCCGAACGATGAGAACCGCAAATAATAGAACTTCAAAAATAAAACAAACTCACCTTTGTCATTGGTCTTTCAGCTTAAATCAGAGCATTTGGTTGAAATTCATGAGCAAAATAGTTTTGAATCGAGTTGTAGAAAAACCCTGATGTGTCCCTGATATTTGATTTTCAGATATACATCAGGAGAAGTAGAGTATCAATATAAATATATGATCAAAAATATCCATTGACTCTCATGGGATGTTTAATAAATGTCAAAAAATAACTAGCATTATTCAATTTCGATGATAAATTTAAAGTAGATACTCAAAAAATGGGCGTTCTTATAATTGAAAAAAAGTTTTGGCAATATAAAGTCAGCTGTAGTAAAAAACGTTTTGTATAAATGTTGTATAGGGCTTTTTGAAATAGTTTTCATTATACAGGGTACAGGGTACCCAGTAGAAACGTGGCCTATCAAAGTTATTAAATTTTTAAATTGAATAAGAACAGTTTATATTGAAAAAGGTAGGATTCTATGGGTATATACTGAGTGGTTCATGTTATGCCAAATAGAACTCTCAATATTTTATTCATGACTTGATTTCTCATTGGGATACGCTTTTTAATTGAACTTCTTTAGCAAAAACTTCGAAAACGTAATTTCGAAGCGAAATAAATGTCCAAGACAAATTGTTATATTTCAATTTGATCAAACTTTTAGGGAATATAGAAAGAATATATTTTTTAATGATAGTTTATTCAGGAAAGTCAATCTTGATAACGTAAAAACACAAAAACATCATAATATTATTGAAAACCCTCATCAAGAAATAATCAAAAACAAACCAGATTACATTCGTGTGATCAACATTACCAAAAAATGTCAGACCAATCAGTTTTCCTACAAAATTACGAAGTGGACTCTGTAAAATAATATGAGTTGAAAAAAATTAGAAAATAATGTTTTTAAACTCTCAATCCCCCAGCATACATCTTTTATAACTCCTCTCATCTTTAATAACCTTTCTAGAAAAAGTTTGAATTGTAAATGTGATTTTAAATGTCGAAGCCTGTGCGAGGTTAACGAGGACGTACCTTTCAACGTGCGATTCAATTTGAATAAAGTTAGATTTGCCGTTCCATGTAAATTTTGATACTGTTTTTATGATTCATTGAACTTTTATCGTGAATATTTTTTCTGTGCAGTAAAACGAAAACTCATGAGATATTTTTTATTTTCCTTCGTGTACTGATCCCTTTTTTGGACAGCTGAAGTCGCTTTTTGGATAACAATTCATCATTCATATCTGTCAGTACTTGTTTCTTGACAATGTCTAAATATTTCTCCACTATATGAGTCTGCTGAGACCCAAGACAATAACATTCCTCGTTTCAATTTCACATTAAACTTTCAACTAAATTCCCAAGTCAAACCCTCTGCACCGCCACTGCTCGCCGCTGTCCATTTAACTACCCACATCACACGTAAGAATACTGATGAGTCATACTTCGTTGTTCAGTTCACGAGAACTTCTAAGAAAAAGACGCGTCGTCAGTCTTCGACTGCACTCGTACGAACTCCCACCCTCATTGGCTGAAACCTGTGTGGCCACTGGCCAACAGATATTTCTGACGGTGACATCATGTTATCCAGTCGGTGGTTCTGAGAAAGGGTATCCCTTAAAGTGAGTCATTCGTCGTGTTTTTCTTCTTGCGGATCGGTTGTTTTCAACGCATCTCCTCGTGTTTTCATAACCTAAACAAAAGTTTAGATTTGTTAAAATTTATTTCGAGTGTGTTTGATTCGCGAAGAGCGGCCAGCTGTTCGACTCGTGCTGGAAGTTATCAAGGTTGCTTTGCGCTTGTTGATAGAACAAAATGAAGTCTGAGCTGAGCGACGGGATGTCAAATCATTCGGATTTTTCGAATGACAGCCAAAACTCGCAGATTTCCACGGCTGATTTCTTGGCCAGCATGGGAAACGGAGTGCTGTTGACCTCTACGAGTGTAAGTAAAGTACCTTGACATAATAGGGTTAACAACTTTTCACGCCTTTTATGGACATAACGTGATGCTTTTATTTCGGACAACTGTCATTGTCAAATTGCTTATGTACTGGATACGATATGGGGGAAGATTAGAGAAGCTTACAACTGTTTTGTTTTTCTTTCTTTCAATTGAATTTTAAACAAGTACATATATTTGGTTTTTGTAGTATACAACTAAGACAGTGGCGTGTAGTTATGAAGGGTTATAACTGACGAGTAAAAAAATGTTACATTGGCGCACCACCACGCTCAAGATGCATAAATAGTCTATGCATCTTCAGCACGCTCAGAATATTAATCAAAGCTAAGTAAATGTTTTAGAATTATCGGTATTGATCTGCAGACTGGTGTGCTAATCTGAATCTTTCAGAGTATGCATATAGGCTGGAACAAATATCATAATGGATGATTAATTAACAAATAAGAAAAATAAATTGTGGAATGTGGAAATTTGAAAAATATTCACCACCTGATACCTTATCATTTCCTGTTATTTTAATTACTCAATAGAGTTTTCAAATTCCATGAACTTAAACCTTTGTCTATAATTCAAGATGGAAAAACCAAAAAGATGATTGGTATGGTAAATAAGACAAATGTTTGTTTAGATTTTATCATTTCAATTTAAAAATTATATCACTGTTATCAGCTTATCAGTTTTTTGAGGATTAGAATAAAATTATAATGAATAATTTACGTATATTCTAGAATTTTTCACGTTTATTCATTTGAACGGTTTGTCTTCAAATTGGGTGAAATCTAAATTGTCATACGGATATATAAATATCACTTTTCAATACAAACATTAGAACACATTGATGATTGGATGCCAAATGTAGTATAAAAAGGATGACGGAAAACTAGTTTGAAATAATTTTTTTATATACTAGAGTTGTCTGTTTATAAATGATCTGATAACAAATGACGTAAAAAAATTCTACTGTCAAATAATGACGTAGTTAGTTGCGGTAATAATATACCAATTGTAAAATACAATGTATTCAGTGTAAATTTCCTCCTCTTTCAGATTATTTAATTTTTGGGAAACAAAGTTTTTGGCTTTCTACCACTCCAT